GGGGACTGAGAGGCTGTCCTGTTTTTACCTAGCTACTACCCCACTGCTGCACTGCACTATACTTTATACAACATGCTTCATACCACTGACTGCTTCACTGTTACTGTGTACTGCATGTTAGATTCTCTAGACTGCTTTGTTTTGTACAAATAAGCAAGAGAGGCAATGCTTTACATACCCACCTCACCCCATAAAAGGGCATATTTTACATTACAGGAGAGGGCATGGTATGGGTGCAGGGGCCCAGTCACCCTACCAATAAGATATAGATCTCTCTTCCACAATGAAAACAGATGAGTGATTACATTGTTGATCTAATATAAACTCACTGGTACTCATCAGGACATTTACCTTGACCTTACCTTGGGATGAAATGAATGGAAGTGCTGCAGCGGTCCAGGAAATGATGTCACTTCCTAAATCATGTAGTAGTGCTTTCCTACAGTGACAACTGCACAGCCACAGTATCTTTCTGTCCTTTCTCTGGGCCACTAGTTGCCAGTAGCTGCTCTATTTATAATAGGAAGGCTTGTGAGGGCCCATCACTGCCAGAGGGTTCTTTGGCAGGCAAGTCCGATCCTGTATACATCAACTTTGTAAAGTCATTGATTGTAAACCAACCATTTTAAAGAGTATGTAGCAAGCTCCTTATGTATATTACCTATTACATAGCAGAATAACTATCTTAAATGTTAATTAAACAACAGTTAAAATTGTAATATATAATATTTATACCATTCTCGACACACAAAATTAACAGCATTTGCAATATAATTTAAAACTTTAAAGCTGAACTCGAGCTATAACATTTATATATATTACATTGGTCCAGCTTGGGAATTCTGTAAAACACTGCAGGACTGCAGCTACTGAATTGCTTAATAATGAAACTGGGGGGGTGTCACTCGCTCAACACAGTGGTCATTCAGAAAATGCAAAATATCTTTATGGATGAACAACAGGCATGTTACGATTGTACAAGGGGCGGTACCATGAGGTCACGCTAAATGGCCGCTGTGCCAAGTGAGTGACCCGCTGTGTCTTAAGAGCAGAGGGGAAGTCGCTCATCACAGTGGCTGTACAGGACCCAGCAGATCACAGAAAACACAAAATGCCTACTATTACCTTTATAAGCCAGAAGCGCCCATTTTTTGTCCCTCTGTGATGTAGTTTCACTGTGTCAATGTGGCCTACTTTACCTGACTTCATGCCTAAGCTCCCCTGACTGCTATTTCCCTGTCTAATAAAAGCATCTTCAGGGATGGGGGATGGATGTTGGAAGGCTTAGCCATGAAGTCAGGGCAAATACAGGCCCCAGAAATAAAGTGTAACTAAATCAGGGGGGTAACATAAGATACTTTTCTGGCTAATCAAGGTAACAGCAGACATTTTGTGGTGCCTAACCTTTTAAAAGTAAAAAAAAAAATATAGTATACAGGTTCACCTTAAATTAATGATCCGTATTTAGTGCCTTCTCTTTGTGCCGCTGCTGTGCAAGCCAATGCCAGGCAGATATTATGGATGATAACAAGTTCTACATGTGCAGCTTATCTCAGTACCACTATAAAAGTGCCCAACAAATGTGTCAATTAACAAAGTTGTTATTTTAGATACATTTCTTATATCTAAATGTTTAAATCTCAAAGGTAAATATTGCACGGCCTGGAATAATTTTTCTGCTTTTTAAGTGCACGTTGAACTATTGATATTCTCTGTTTCTCATAAATGAATGCTTTGTCTTGTGATATATTAGCTGTACCAGGAGTGGTTCATTTTTCTTTTCTCCTCAATGACATACCCATAGAAACTCACTCTTAATACCAGTGAATTGACTTTACTATGAAAACAGATAATACAACATCCACATGGTAAGTTCAACAGTCCTGTGTGAAAAAAAATTAAGTGCAATGAAAAAATAAATGTGATAATTAAAATGAGTAGAATGCATGGTAATAATAGTAATGCATGGTAATAAATACTTTCTAATTTGTTTTTTCTGAATTGTGTGCTTTTTGGATCAGTGTGCCATGAGGAGACAGTCCACTTTTCATAATGAAAAGTTATCCAGTGACCAATTAGTTCCATGAAATTTCTCAACAACCTATTGTGTATTTTTAGTGTACACCTGATGGTTTAAATTTTGTTGTGTGTTGCCAAACTTTTGTCAGGTTATTCTTAATATGAACAACATACAATTTTTACACAGACAATGAGGGGAATTTATCAAAACTGGAGCAGCCAAATTCTGGAGCAGCTGTGCATGGCAACCAATCAGCTTCTCTCTTTATTTCCAAATCTTAACTGAACAAACTGAAGAGAGAAGCTGACTGGTTGCCATGCACAGCTGCTCCAGATTTTGTCTGCTCCAGTTTTGACACATTTCCCTTCGATAGATTAATATCTATTAAAACATGCAATTAAATATAACATCAAACTAAATCAAATCATTAGTTAAAACCAGCAAAACATTTGTTCACCCTTTTATTTTACTGACAACCTGCCACAATGGAGTGACTAGCCTACTTATTCATACTCAAATATAGACTGTAACATATAAATGGATCGGACTGCTCAAATAAATTGATTTATTGTAATATGAACACAACACTGTTTTTAATATGCCAACTCAAATTCCTGTTTCTACCAAATTACTTCAAATTGTCAAAGAAAAGACACACATTTGAGTAAGAATAGCCCATAGTGTCATAGTCATAGCCTAAGCGTAGTGATAAACTGCGAGATATTTACAAGCAATCATCAGGTCATGTAGGGGTTACCTAGCGTCAAGATTATATTTTACTGCACAGATATTTTGGCAGCATATTTGAAATCTGTGCTACTGTTTAGCAATGATTTCCATGCCAACAGAATGGAACTGGCTTTGCATCAGTGTGTGGCCTACATGGGGAAGAAGAAAATAAGATCTGAGTGAGGACAGGCCTATTCGTCAATTTACCTCTATTTTGACAACCTGTTAATGGGTGTTTTGGCACTGCTTCTAGGGTTTATTGAACCATATGTGGAAGACAGAGCATGCAAGTTTCTGCAAATCCAGAAGCAAGTCAGCTGGACTAGTCCTATTCACCTGCCTTTACATTATCTACAAATTGACCTTAAAGCAAAGTGACAGATGCAAAAAACTGGAAACCTATAAACTATTTTTAGGGGCAGCATAAAATAAAATATTTTCACCTCATAGTTGAACTCCAGGCTCAAAACATAATGCCAGGATATTTGTAATATGCCCCACGTATACACTCACTGGCCGCTTTATTAGGTACACCTCTTCAACTGCTTGTTAACACAAATATCTAATCAGCCAATCACATGGCAGTAACTCAATACATTTAGGCCTATAGATATGGTCAAGATGGTCTGCTGGAGTTCAAACCGAGCATCAGAATGGGGAAGAAAGGTGATTTAAGTGACTTTGAACATAGCATGATTGTTGGTGCCAGACGGGCTGGTTTGAATATTTCAGCAACCACAACCATCTCTATAGTTTACAGAGAATGGTCTGAAAAAGAGAAACTATCCAGTGAGCAGCAGCTCTCTGGGCAAGAATACCTTGTTGATGTCAGAGGAGAATGGCCAGACTGGTTCAAGCTGATAGAAAGGCAACAGTAACTCAAATAACCACTAGTTACATCTGAGGTATGCAGAATACCATCTCTGAACACACAACACATTGAACCTTGAAGCAGATGGGCTACAGCCACAGAAGTCTACACTGAGTGTCACTTATGTCAGCTAAGAACAGGAAACTGAGGCTACAGTTTGCAAGGGCTCACCAAAATTGTAAGATAGAAGATTGGAAAAACGTTGCCCGGTCCGATGAGTCTCGATTTCTGTTGTGACATTCAGTTGGTCGGGTCAGAATTTGATGCAAACAACATGGAAGCATGGATTCATCCTGAAATGTATAACAGTTCAGACTGGTGGAGCTTCGCATCATGGATGTGCAGCTGACAAATCTGCATCAACTCTGTGATGCCATCATGTCAGTATGGACCAAACTCTTTAAGGAATGTTTCCATCACCTTGTTGAATCAATGCCAAGAAGAATTAAAGCAATTCTGAAGACAAAAGGGGTCCAACCCAGTACTAGCAAGGTGTACCTAATAAAGTGGCAAGTGAGAGTATGTCCAATTTGTAGAAATTCTACATCCCCACCTTGAAATTATGGCAATAGTACTTAGTCATCTAATCGGGGAGCAGAAGAAAAAAAATGGAAGCTCATGGTTTGCTATCTTAGTCATCTCTCCTCCATCAGTCTGTTATTGGACAATGAAGGAGTAGCAGTACATTAATGAGCTTATCCTTTACTTTCCTCTCCTACAAAGCTGTTCACAGACAGCACTGTACAATGACCCTTCCTCTCCCAGTGTGAATGCAGAGAACACATGATGTTTATATTAAGAGGAATTCAGTGACTCCCGATAGTTTGATATAAAAATAAATTGTATTATCTTTTTAATACATAACTGGACAATTAAATATAATTGCTAATGCTCCTGACCTACTAGCTATCATACACATTTTCCTGTGATCCAGGACCAAATTGTAAGCACAGGAAAGAGCATCTCTGAAGTAGGGTGGAGCTTTGAACCATATAGAAAATACCTTGTGAGGCATGGAACTGAAATGATTCTAGCTTCATCTAGACCCATCATATTATAGTCTACTGATGTAGTGTGCAGGGTATTGTGAGGTTCGCGAAATGCCAAAATGCAAGAAAAAAACATATTAAATAAAAAATAGTTACTTCACAAACCAGAAAACAGGTTTCTTCTAAGCTTAAAAAGCATTCCACTGAAATCCTGCCACACTGGCAATTTTATTTACCCATTTAATGGTAATTGGTGCCAACACCAAAATGACATTTTAAGCATGGTTCTTGCTGCATCTTAATTGTAGTTCTATAAAAATTTTGTTTAAAACATGGTTTAACAATGAGATCAAGAGTTTGTCTAGCCAAAGCAGGAATTAACCGTGGTCTGAGCATTTGATTACATCTGAATACTTGTTAATCCAATAGCATGCTTATTGAAAGGAACATGGGCGACCACATAAAACTGGAAAGCACATTATAAATGAGGTAATGCTACAAATGTGCCCATTGTGCCTTATGTCTAGTGCTCACAGATCTCTCACAAATATAAAGGCACTATGCAATATTGGGCCAGCCTATAAAACAGTTGCTACTGTTTCCAGGCAAGGGGTACACGTAATGGTATGTATGCAAAACAGATCATTAAAAAACATGGAAAATTAAAAGGATCAGTGGGCACACAAATAATTAGGTGGAAAGAACATGTTAAAGTCCATTATATTACTCTGAAAAGGGCTAGTGACTAGCGTATACACAAGTACACTCTTCTGTTTTTAACAGTCAACATCATATTCACTTGCAATGAGTTCCACAGATGAAAATGTGTTCAGTGACATGCACAAGGTTATGGAGAAATGAAAAAAATGTCCAAAATCATCACTCTACATGTAAAGATTAGGTCTCTCCAGACATGAAAACATTCCATTCCGGTAACTAAATTTACATTCCTCTTCCTTCACCCTTTGTCCTCCGGGGATTTCTCCAGACATTGAGTTGACAATTGTCTGTCCACTGTGTTTAACTTGGGCTTGTCTGACTTGCATGTATTTAACAAGTATGAGTTTAATCTCTGATGTTATGACTGAGTTTAAAAAAAGAAAAAAAACACATTTTACCCAAAAAGATACAAAAAGATAAACTCCACATCACTTAAATTGGAGGCTGAACATTTAAACCTGTCAAATGATAACTTTTATGACAGTGCAAAATCATGTTTATCGCAAAGAGCTATATCTTCAAAATCTGGTGCAATTTCATGCTCTCAAGGCCACAGTCTCTAGTAATAAATATACAATCTTGACCACTCTTTGAAAAGCACTGGGTGAACCCCTTCATCGAAGAGGTTGACATAAGATCCCCATATTCCCCTAACCAATTTCCCCTACCCTACACACCCGCCTCTCAAGAGAAAATATCAGTAGTGTTTGTTCCACAGCAAACTTCATGTATCTTCTATCTTGTTAGCTGGCCAACAACTTTCAGAAGGGTCTTATTTTCTTGCTTTAGCTGTTTATTTTCATCTTCTATATCATCCAAATCCTTAGAAAAGAATGAAAAAAGACATCCAATAAAAACACTATTTTACAAAGCCATGGTGCAAAGTGGACTGTAAAAAGAAAATTATATAATCTGCAAGCTTCCAAAGTATAAATATATTCAGGTTTTTAAAACAAGCATTAGAGGAAAAAGATTAGGAAGGAATAAACAAATTAAATATCATACACTGCTAAACACAATTCAAATAATCATTTATTACTAAGGGCAAGATTTTAATGATTAAATGCTCCAGTAAGAAACATCTTTCGCAAAGTGTCTTAAGATTACAGACTACACCAGAAATCACTTTTTCTGCCTGAATTATATAAATAAATGAATCTGAAGGGCAGCATAGGTCCACAGGACATTTTTAGTTGTAGATAAGGTGAACAAAGCTTGGAGAGAACTGCACACGCTTCCTGTCCCTATGACAAGATAGCATCTCTCCAATGGTGACAACGGCAGCATAAAAACAGAAGTTCTAAGCCCTACCTATTTTATCCACAACTACAAAAAAGTGGCTACCATTGTACATAATTACTATATATAGGATATTTAGCTGCATGTTATAGTTATCGCAGAATTCACTGTAAATGTATCCAGTTTGGGATAAAATACCAAAAATATTTAAAAGGTCAGTTCCAAGGAAAAATGCTATTGTAGTTTCTGGTGTGTTGAAGCAGCCACTAGCTTTCTATTTCCCTTGGATAGTTCTAAAGAAAGTGTCCCCCGACCTTAAAGTGTCACTCTTTCTGCTACAATATGGGTGTTCCCATTTCTCCTTTTGCTTTCTCCACAATATAACAAATAAAAAAAATAAAAAAATTCAACCAGGAGAGTGTGTCATCTCTGTACCACTATGCCTAAAAAAAAAAAAAAAAACACAAGAAACTACTATATGGTTTATTTTTCAGTACTTATCTAAAACGGAGTTTCTCAGAAATATGATGCAAAACATATGGGCAGCTACTACCAGGGAATCCAGGTTCAATATACCTTCAGATGTGCTGCTGGACTTCAGCTCCAGAAAGAGATATTTGACACAATCGCATGCCATGAATCAGGTTTTTGGTTTTTTTTTTCTCCACTTAAGCAATGATTATCAGCACGTATAACATGAGGCCTTGGCATGTTTCACACACAAATGCTTAGTCACAGGAAGTTATGATTAAATACATTGATGAGAAACATGTCAAGACCTCATGTGATACAAGCTAATGATTTAATTTGTCACAGTAATCTTTTGAACTAATTTGCTTATTAAAAAAAGCATAAAGAGTACCTTAAGATCCTCTTTAAAAGGAGAACTATGAGGTGAGTGCTTTTCACTCACCTCATAGTTCTAGCCAAACTGTGACAATGAAACTGTCACAGGTCGGCTCAGTAGATCGGGAGGTGAGCAAACACATACCGGCGTTCGCTCACCTCTCGATCCTGTCATGGCTCTCTGCCGTGACAGGGAAGGGGCTGGATTCCCACCTCCCCGCCAGCGCTGATTGGCGGAACGGACGTGGGAGGGGGCGGGTACAGCTGGCTCTGCCTCTAGATAGGCAGAGCCAGCTGTCAGTCACGCAGCTGGGCGGATCCCGGCACAATTGTGGGGATCCGCTTCAGCTGCGGCGTCTCAGTATACCGCGAGCTGCAGCTCGCGGTATACTGAGCCTAGGGTGATGGGAGGACGCTAGTTTGTGTCCTCCTGTTACCCTAAGGAGAACTATGGGGAAAAGCCTTAACCCCATAGTTCTCCTTTAAGCAAATATTTCTGTTTTTAGAAGTCTGCAACTGGAGTAATAAACCCTGCTATATTCATCTTTTGTTTTCTGTCTCACTTATTGTAACAGAACACATTTTCCAATGCTGGGTGCTGCTCTCCCAGTTATAGACTGGAGGAAATATTGTTATCAAAGAACAGACAACAGAAATTGGAATGTTTCAAATCCACTGCATGCGATCACTCTGCAAAATATTTTCCTATGGGCAGCAAGTTTAAAAGGCTAAATGTTAAACTTATGTGGCTCACGTCCAATGTAAAAAAAGCCATGAAGAATAACAAAGGGCATTTGCTAAATTGAGTTTGTAAATGGATAGAATACTGGCCTAAAGTATATGTGAAGGCATATAATCATGGTATGAGGTGCAAACACCTCTTAGATTATTTGAATGATTCCGTATTCAGTTGGCCCTCCTATAGAATGCATAGGAAATGGCTATTGATGTTTGCTTTGCCGTGTCTCTCGAATGCCCTACATGTAGGCTTTGCAATGCTCAGTATGCCTGCGCAGCTAAAGATGCTGCATAGAGTGCTGAAGGGCAGTGTGTTGGGCCCTGGAGCTAACTTACAAGCTCAATAACTGAAAAGGATCTGAGAGTTCTGGTAGATCATAGACTTAATAACTGTACAAACCATTAGTAAAACCTCATCTGGTGTATGCAGTTAGGTTTTGGACCCCAGTTTACAAAAAAGATGTTGGAGAACTGGAGAAAGTACAGAGAAGGGCAACTAAACTTGTTAGAGGCATGGAGGTCCTCAGCTATAAGGAAAGATTCGCTGAACAGATTTAATTCTCATTTGAGAAGAGGCGTTTAAGGGGGAATATGATCACAATGGATATATACATAAATAGTTGATATAGTGAACTTGGTACAAAGTTTTTCAGGTTTTTCTTTAAGGGCATTTCAAAATATTCTTTGTATCGGAAGGAACAGGTTGGTTGGAGGTTTAACCTTCACATACAGAAAGGCTTCTGCACAGAAAGAGCTTAGAAAATATGATTTAGACTCCCTCAAGGGCTAGTTCTAGCCCGCTCAGTTTACTAGAAACTAGAAGCATTCCTAAATAAACAGAATATAACTGGCGATTAACATTCATAAGTAATAACAACAGAGATTGTTGATGCAGGGAAAATCTGATTGCCACAGGGGATCAGGAATGCATTTATTTTCCTTGCTGGAGCAAATTAGACCATGCCAGGTATTATTGTCTTCCTCTGAATCAAATGTGGGTATAGGGTTCTGTATATGGAAGCTTCCAATTAATTTTTTTACTTTCTCTCATATTTGGTTGACCTCAATGAACTTTTTTTAACCTAACTATGTAACTATGTTAGTTTTTGTGATCACACTATCCTGAATATTGATTTACTTAGTGATAAGTGGATTCATTCACTACAGAATTTAACCCGAGATTCAACCTGGGTCAGGTCAATTCACACTCTAATCAAATTGCACATATTCACCTAAAAAAAACATTTATTGGCCTCCAATATGCCAAATGGCCAGTCAAACATATTTTATGGGAGCCAATAGTACTGCTGCCCTTCGGTACAGCAGAACTTAGTAAAAAAATAAATAAATAATAATCTATCAAAAGGTAAAGTAAAAAGCATATTTTACCACAATAGTCATCTTCAACCTGGATTTGTCCCTTCTTTTTCTTTGTTCAATCAATTTTATTGTTTTAGAAGAATAATTGGTTTTCGCATATGTAAACATCATATACAATAGTACCAAAGCTGTACATACAGCCCAATAAACAAAAAGACTTAAGTACATAACAATCTGTGTTGCGTATGCTGCAAGAAATTGACAGTATACATCAAGACACACAACCTATGTCAATCAGTTGTCTAGTACAAACTGCAAAGAGGGTGGTCAAACCACCGTTCAGGCTCTGCCCAAAAATCTTGTGAAGGAGACGCAGTGCAAAGAAGAGGGGGTGGGGGGGAGAGCAGAATGGGGGACAGGGGTAAGCAGGCATGGTGGGGGGTTAAATAATGAGTGAATCCAAATGGAAATTTGAGGGCATATAGGAGACAACCCATGGCTCCCATATTTTTTCAAATTTAGGCAACAAATCTGACTGGACAGCCGACATTTTCTCAAGAAACATAACTTGTGAGACTCTTGGTTTAACTGCTGCAAAGGGGACCGAGGTAGTACGCCAAGAGTGCAATCACTCTCTTGGCTTCAGTTAGGATACGAGTGACTAGCTTAAACTGGGTCCATGAGCATGATACCGGTTTCTTCCCGAGTAGTGCCTCCGTCGGATCCTTGCGAAAGGAGCGACCTGTTACAGTATAAATTAGCTGATACACCCTAGACCAAAACCGCCGGATCTTGGGGCACTCCCACCATATGTGGCTAAAGGTCCCATCAGCCTGGCATCCTCTAAAGCATAATGGGGACCTGGAGGGAACTGCACGGGTGATACGCAGAGGGACTAATTACCATCTCAGTAGGAGTTTGTAGTTCGCTTCCACTGCCTGTACACTCGAGAAACTTTTTGCAGTCATGCTCCAGATTTGGGACCATGTGTCCTCTCCAATGGGGCCCCCCCAATTCCTGTTCCCATTTTGAGGCGTAGGTAGGAAGTTCCCTCTGTAGGGAGTCCATCAAGGACGCATAGAGATGAGACCTGGGCCATGGGGGGTGAGTGTCAATAATTGTTCAAATGGGGTCATAACCATCGGGTCTCGGATCGGTCCAGCGCACTGCCTCAAAAAGTGTGTAATTTGTAGAAATTGAAAAATATCTCTAGAGGTAAGCTGATGTTTCCCTCGGATCTCCGAGAATGATACAATCCCTGCAGCGGTATAAACATGTCTAGCTTGAACTAGAGAGCGAGCTGTCCATTTGCAAAAAGTTGATGGATGTTCATATCCCGGAGGGAAAAGGGGGTTCCCCTGTACGGAGAGAAGGGGAGTATGTGTGGAAATCCATTTCTGGGATACCTTAAGGGCATCCCATAGGCACAGTGTATTTTTAGTCCCTTCTTTTTCTACCACAGATGTCTTCACTCTTCTTGGATGAATAATAGCCAACATAATTCAATTCACTTTCTCTAAACTAAGGCTGTTATGGAGCCGCCACTAGCCTTTAACTGTACAGTTAAAGAAAGTAGTAAAGTGACTTTGTGTATCTCTGCTTTTTCTTCCCAATGAGCATGGTCCATGTTAGCATATGGACTGCTTTTTCCCGCTTAATTCTAAGTTCTGCTGTGCAGGGGCTTACACTGCTAGAATATAAATTTATGCTACAAGCTAGGCTTTTTTCCCCCCTAATGCATTCTCTGCATTAAGATAAAAAACGGCCAGTACCTTTTTGTAACCCCCTAGCCCCTCACACTTACCTGTCGCCAGGCATCTCCTCCACCGGGACCAGGAACTTACTCGCTTTTCCCCAAACTTCCTGGTCCTGGGGGAGGGTACTGAGGGCAGAGTAGCCATAGGCTCCTGCTGCCATCAATCGAAGTGTGACTGAGGGAGTGGGGGGCATGGCTTGCCACAAGCTGAGTGTGTCTATGGACACACACACACGCAGGGGTCTCCTCAGCAGCTGGTTTGCTGATGGAGACAACTGCACACCGGGAGGGGGCTAGCGGTTTAGGGACAAGGAAACTAAAAGGTTTAAAAAAGAAACAAAAGTCTGGCCCTCCTAATAATAATTTTAAAAAAAACTATGAAGGTTTAATATCACTTTTGTATTCATTAATGCATAATTAAATTAATTTATTAAACAGCTTTAATTAATGTATCTTTTAGATCTGCAGGGAGAATTGCTTTAAAGTGTAACTCACCATCTTGTATTAATTTTTAAAGAATTCACTGTCAATAAAAAAAAAGTGTCCTGAATGACACTGCTGCTCATTGCTAGCCCTTCTCTGGGCTATAAGTCCCGAGATGCTTTGCATACCCGCTGCACAGGTGCAGAAGGAAGCCTATTAGGTTCTCAGCCAAAGACGAAGTTGGAAGTGTTGGCACACTGCGCATCAGCATGTCCAGTTGCAGTCAGTTGTGGGAGCACAAATTTAGGATAACCAAGAGTAGACCACATACAGGGTATGGAAAGGCAGCCTTGTCACTCTTATATCTAGAGTAGCTTAAAGCAGATTTTCAGATTTAGCTTTGTGCATACTATGAGCCTGCCAACAGAAACCTTTCCCAAGGTAATAAAGCACTATATATATTTTTTTCATTTGGAATTTAGAGGCACTTAAAACAGTCAATGATCTCCTTGTGGGTTTTCTTTTTGTTAATTATATTTTTCCCATTTTCTTGACTATTTTCTCGTGTTTGTTTATAGCACTATACTAGTATTTCCTGTTATGGTATCAAACTATAAAAACAGAAGAAATAAAGAAAAAGTTATGGACTAATAAAACTTTTAATATGATGTCTAGTTTATGTCAGAATTCAAGATGTTTTGGTGGATATCACAAATGGATGAGCAAGCATCACTATCGTAACAGTGATAATAAACATTATAGCCCCACTGAACCCCAAACCAAGGATGAGTCAAGAACTCTACTCTGTATCATAATTTATAATTGATATGAATACAGCTGTAAAGCTATAACTCTTGTACCAAACATCATATACAGTACTTATTGTATACTTACTCTGTTTAACAAGTCAATTTCTTCCTTCATTTTCATCATTAATTCTTCTTTGTCTTGCATTAACTTGACTAATCTTACATTTTCTTGCCTCTCTTTTACTAGCTCCTGTCAAATAAATATAAAAACGGAATGTTTATAAATGTATAGGTTGTTCACAATAAAACACATGCAATCCAATAAAGCTATTACCTTTTCAAGCTCTTCAATCTTTTTCTCTATAGTTCCCTGTCCAGAATTTACAGAATTTGGGTCTCTGTTGTGGTGGCCACAAGTTGCCCGATCAGTACGGGGATAATGATTTAAGGAGTCATCATCTGGGGCATTATTTGTGCTGAAAATCAATAAACATGATTACAATTTCTCTTACAATACAGTGAACCTGTGTGTTTCAAAGTAATAGTTATAGCATAAATGCACTTTAAAGTATATTTCCCCCAACTCGGTAACCGAGCTACGTGTGAAAGAGGGAGGAGGAAGGGAGGAGACAGGGAGGGGGCTCCCTGTCCCTCACTTGCTTATCACCGGTGAGGCATTGAGATCGATGCCCTCAGTATTTTTGTTTCTTTTTTTTGATTGGACAGCTTGGAACAATTGGCCAATTCTACTGGATTTAGACATGTCCTACACCAAAACAGACAAGCATACATACAATTTTGTGCATGTGAACGTTTACGTTCATATTTATGTATGCTTGTTAATGGCTTTCAGTGTATATTGGCTTGTATTTAATGTTTATGGCCCTTTATGGACAATACAAATATGTTTCTAGTCTATTAACACCTAAGTTGATCATCACATTTTACTAAATTTACTATACTTTTCTTTGAAGGCAGAAGGCAGTTTTCTAAATGATTGAATGCCTTAATGAGTTTCTGTGAAACTTTCCTTTATTCTTAGCATGGCAGTATTGTTGATGCACTTCCCCATGTGAACTTCCTGAAGGAAGGGCACTGGCAACATCAATGTCTGTAAACCAATACCACAAAATACAGTAAAGCCCTGCCGAGTCACTGCTTTCCTTAGTGGTGCTAAACTAAGGGAATATACATATAGGTCAAATTCATTTTTTTACTTTTCTAAACCTGAAACAAATTTACTAAATATATTTACCTTATGAAAGGCATCTTCACCAATTTAATGATTTCCCTTTCTTCTAACTAAGCAAGCCCCTGATACAGAAGCAAGGAACAAGACCTGACAACAGCTGTGTTTCAAGCAACAGTTGAAGGTGATAAGCTTGGCTCAGCTGGCAGGTGCTTGAAATATCCAATTTAATTCACCAAGGAAAGTTCCCACAATAAATGTATTCATACTTAAGAGTTTTTGATGCCCCAAGAAAAATGATAAGACTCTTTGGACAAGTAAAATGTAATATAAAGATTCTTCTATCCTTCCTATTCTGCAAAAAGTTTAGTCTTCATGAAGCTGGCTTTCCGGCAAATCAGGAAGCCGGGAGGCGGGTAATGACTTGCCGCCCAGCTTCCTGATACTGGAAGTTCCGGTATTGGGATAAGCATCGGGAGCATTTGGGCGAGTATGAGTATTCGCCCAAATACTCAGTATCTGCACTGATACCAATACTAGTATCGGTGCATCCCCAGCAGAAACCAATCCCAAACCAAAATAGCAATCCAAACTCAAAGCACCAGTCTAGTGTCAATTTGCACCAATGGTGCAGAAGAGCCCAACACCGCCTTTATTAGTACTTTCGCTATCAGTATCTTTAACAATCCATGCATCAGTCTGTTATGGGTTGGATCCTGAAATTGACAAATAAGTTGCTTTTCCCTATAGATACAATCAAAATTCCAAAATTTTTGACTTATCTGTTAACAATATAGCAGGGGTAGACAAATTATTTAGAAGCCAGTCTGTCCAATCCAGGAACCCGCAGGATTTTTTTTAGGAAGCAGCTCCAACAACTAGTGAAAACCTTAAAAGCTTGGTTCTCAACCGGTGGGTCGTGACCCAAAAGTGGGCCGTGACCCCGTGTTCAGTGGGTCGCTGCATGCCTTCCACTTTTCTACGTGAGGGGCTCCTCTGCCTCCCCCTAGCGCAGCACTGTTAGTTCTTGGGCCAAGCAGCCATTCAAAATATGCTGCTCGGTGCCGAGTGTCAGCATGAAGCTTAAAGGTGGTTGACCTTAAAAAAAAAAAGTAAAAAAAAGTGTGTATGTATGTTTGTGCAAGAAAGTCTGTGAGTATGTGAGATTGTGTCTGTATGTATGTATGTCAGTGTTTTTGAGGGACCGTTCACACTAGTACAGTGCGTTAAACTGTACCACGCAATCTCACCTACCATGCATGCTGGTGTGGGAGATGTGTTGCGTTGCCATTCATTTGAAATGCACCTCTCAGCCACAGTTCATACGCCCGCACTGGAATGCGAGGTAACCTAATGCTGTCCATTCCATTGCAACTTGGGTCTCGACTTAATGACTAAGGACAAATGTGGGTACACAGGTTGAGAACCACTGCCTTAAAAAGGTGCCAGCTGTGATTTTAGGGCGCATTTGCGACCTGGCTCGCGGGATTAGTGCAGCCTTGCACTAGTAATAAATAAACTGAGAGCAACTGAAGAACCCCAGTATGTGTGCCTGTACCAAATATCCAACAAAGCAAAAGAAAAAGGTATCTGCTCTTATCAATTTAGAAATATATATATA